CCAAGGCACCATTTTTGCACGGAGGGCGCGGCAAAAAAGCACGAACCGAGGCACCATTTTTGCACGGAGGGCGCGGCAAAAAAAGCACGAACTGAGGCACCATTTTTGCACGAAGGACGCGACCAAAAAAGCACGACCTGGGACCCCTAGAACGCGGGACTGGACAGAAAAGTTTGGCCAAAGTCGCGGTGCAAAAATGGTGCCTTGGTTTGTGCTTTTTTTAATATAAAATCAATTAAAACCAACGAAAAAAAAGCACGAACTAAGGCACCATTTTTGCACGGTGGGCGCGGCCAGATTTCACAATTTCTTAGTGGCCAGTGCGCGGACTGGATAGACTGGAGGTGGCTGGGGCAGCTGAGGTGCGCGAAGCCTGCGCGCAAAAAACTTGATCTCCAGCCCACCTAACGGCGCGCAAACAGGGAAGTTGCCAAGATTGAGGCTGCACTGCGCGACAAAGCTTCTGGGAACAGCAAAGCTAGCCAGATTCACTGTGCCAAAAATTTTTCTGGGAGCAGCAAAGATTGCAAGATTCAGTCTCTACTGTGCGACAAAGCTTCTGGGAACAGCAAAGGTAGCAAGATTCACTGTGCCAAAAATTTTTCTGGGAGCAGCAAAGATTGCAAGATTCAGTCTTTACTGTGCGACAAAGCTTCTGGGAACAGCAAAGGTAGCAAGATTTACTGTGCCAAAAATTTTTCTGGGAGCAGCAAAGATTGCAAGATTCAGTCTTTACTGTGTGAAAAAGCTTCTGGGAACAGCAAAGCTAGCAAGTTGTACTGTGCCAAAAAATTTTCTGGGAGCAGCAAAGATTGCAAGATTCAATCTTTACTGTGCGACAAAGCTTCTGGGAACAGCAAAGGTAGCAAGATTCACTGTGCCAAAAATTTTTCTGGGAGCAGCAAAGATTGCAAGATTCAGTCTTTACTGTGCGACAAAGCTTCTGGGAACAGCAAAGGTGGCAAGATTCACTGTGCCAAAAAATTTTCTGGGAGCAGCAAAGATTGCAAGATTCAGTCTTGACTGTGCGACAAAGCTTCTGGGAACAGCAAAGGTATCCAGATTCACTGTGCCAAAAAAATTTCTGGGAGCAGCAAAGATTGCAAGATTCAGTCTCTACTGTGCGACAAAGCTTCTGGGAACAGCAAAGGTAGCAAGAGTCACTGTGCCAAAAATTTTTCTGGGAGCAGCAAAGATTGCAAGATTCTACTGTGCGACAAAGTTTCTGGGAACAGCAAAGGTAGCTTGATTTTGTTTTTTGAGTCCAGCTACCAAGACACAAGGATGAAGCATTACAAAAAACAATGACAAGCTTTAACATCAACAGAGGAACATCATTTTAGGACATGTAACAGGCATCAGCCCACCCCAGAAGCATAGACACCCCGCTACATGCGGAAGGTGTTTACACAAGGGAAGACACAGAGGCAAGGCAGAAACATAACTCAAACATCACTTTTGAGCAGATTGGGTTTTCCTTCAAAACATACCAGATCTAAGCCCTACCTGATGTATGACCTAGAACGATCTCAGTGATAGACCTATCGACGATCATAACAGTTTCTACTCCAAAAAGATTTCAGACGGCATATACGCATACAGGTCGGACCGGTCGGACCTGCGCGCGGAACCCGCGCGCCACACACGCGCGGAACCCGCGCGCCCACAATCGCGCGGGTTCCGCGCGCGGACGTTTCGGTAGTAGTAGTCTTAGTAGTAGCAGTAGTCACGGTAGTCGTTGTCGTCGTTGTTGCAGTAGTCGTTGCACTACCACTACC